TCCAAAACTCATAGCAACAAACTATCTCAGAAAACTGAACCAGAAAAACAAACTCAAGCCTCCACTTGAAGAGGAATTTTGCTTCTTCTGATTTGTGTGTTTTGATAGATCGAGATTCAGTTTCATGATGTGATTTGGTTTGTGATGTTGTCACGATTCAGAGGTTATGTCCACTAAATTTAATCTTCCATTACAGTGAATTTTCTTGTCTAAAGAGGAGGCTCTGTGTCCCAATATAGACATCTTCAAAGGTTGGATTTTTATTGCTTCTTCTTGATGGTTTAAATTAGAAACCAATTTCATCATTTTCTCAAGTGTTGCAACTTTTGGTTTGAGGCTTTCTGTGTGTCTGAGAGAGAGATATATAAATAAGCCCTTGCAAGAAGTAAGATTTCATTTGTTTATTGAAGTGAGTATTATTGGAAGAAAAAGTTTCTCTTTTTTGTTCTGTGGAAATTTCCTTCTTCTTTATGGGATTTTGATGGTTTTTTGTTTGATAGGAGGATGGGTAGGGTTAAGTTGAAGATAAAAAGACTTGAGAGCACAAGCAACACGCAAGTTACATTCTCGAAGAGAAGAAATGGGATATTGAAGAAAACCAAAGAGTTATCGATTTTGTGTGATATTGATATTGTCCTTATGTTTTCTCCTACCGGAAGGCCTTCCGTTTTCCATGGAGAACACAGGTCAACATCTTTAAACCATCCTCAACTTTCTTCCTTTTGTTCAATTTTGTGTTTCAATGCAACATAATACCTCCATTTTTGAATGAAGGTGTTGTCTTCTCAATACTCTTCTTTTAAAAAAAAGAATAGCTTTCATAAGTTTTGGTTTAGGACCTCGTAAAGTTGTTATATGGATTTAGCTGGAATGGTGAGAGTTATAGACGCTAGGATGTTTTTGACCAGTTGGTTAGTTTGGGAGCATTTTGGCTTTGGGAGAGACTAGTGGACTGTTTTCTTGTAGTTTCCTTTCGGTTATCGATTCTCTTATATTGTTCTTCGTTGTTCTCCTTTGTGTAATAAAGAGTGATTTGGCATTCCTGAATACTATGAGAGATGGTGGATTGAGTATCTATATTTAAGTTTTCTGCAATTAACTGATCTTGATCTTTCATTTTGCAAACATTTAAAAAAAAAATTAAAAATATATTTTTTAGAACCTCACTCAAGTCTCACCATTGGACACATAAATATTACTAGAAACTAATGGAGTCTCAAACATTAAATTAGTATTAAATTTAGTACTAAAAAATAAGTTAGAACCCCTTAAATGCATCACCTTTAACATGCTCTCACATTTGGTAGGATGGCTGACTCATGAAACTTGTGCTCTTATCTTTCTGCCTCCGTACTTTCGTGGATAGTCATCTTTTCCTAGGTGTTCTAGTTTTTTGTCACCACTTATCTTCCACGTCATG